TTTAATGGAAACTTCGGGTTTGTTCATTTTTGGCGAATTGCTAGTCTAATTCGATTGAAATTGAGCCAGTGAAAAGTGGTTTTTGATTTCATGATAACTTCGGGTTTGTTCATTTTCGGCGACTTGCTAGTCTAATTCGTTTGGAATCTAGCCAATGAAAAGTAGCTTACGATTTCATGATAACGTCGGGTTGTTTATTTTTGGCAATTGCTAGTCTAATTCGATTGGAATCGAGCCAATTATAAGTGGTTTTTGATTTAATGATAACTTTGGGTTTGTTCGCTTTTTGTGAATTGCTAGTCTAATTCGATTGGAATCAAGCCAATGAAAGGTGGCTTTTTATTTAATGATAATTTCGGGTTGTTCGTTTTTGGCGAATTGCTAGTCAAACTCGATTGGAATCGAGCCAATGAAAAGCGGTTTTTGGTTTCATGAAAACTTCGGGTTTGTTTGTTTTGGCAAATTACTAGCCTAATTCGATTGGAATCGAGCCAGTGAAAATTGGTTTTTGATTTCATGATAACTTCGGGTTTGTTCATTTTCGGCGACTTGCTAGTCTAATTCGTTTGGAATCTAGCCAATGAAAAGTGGTTTATGATTTCATTATAACTTCGGGTTTCTTCATTTTTGGCGAATTGCTAGTCTAATACGATTTGAATCGAGCCAATGAAAAGTGGTTTATGATTTCATGATAACTTCGGGTTTGTTCGTTTTTGGCGAATTGCTAGTCTAATTCGATTGGAATCGAGCCAAAGAAAAGTGGTTTTTGATTTAATGATAACTTTGGGTTTGTTCATTTTTTGCGAATTGCTTGTCTAATTTGATTAGAATCGAGCCAATGAAAAGTGGCTTTTGATTTCATGATAACTTTGGGTTTGTTTATTTTGGTGAATTGCTAGTCTAATTCGATTGGAATCGAGCCAATGAAAAGTGGTTTTTGATTTTATGATAACTTCGGGTTTGTTCGTTTTAAGCGAAATGCGAGTCTTATTCGATTGGAATCAAGCCAATTAAAAGTGGATTTTGATTACATGATAACTTCGGGTTTGTTCGTTTTTGGCGAGTTGCTAGTCTAATTCGATTGGAATCGACCAAATGAAAAGTGGCTTTTGATTTCATGAGAACTTCGGGTTTGTTTGTTTTTGGCGAGATTCTAGTCTAATTTGATTGGAATCGAGCAAATTTAAAGTGGTTTTTGATTTCATGATAACTTCGTGTTTGTTTATTTTTGGCGAATTGCTAGTCTAATTCGATTGGAATCGAGCCAATGGAAAGTGGTTTTTAATTTCATGATAACTTCGACTTTGTTCGTTTTTGGCAAATTTCTAGTCTAATTCGATTGGAATTGAGCCAATTTTGATTTCATGATAACTTCGGGTTTGTTCATTTTTGGCGAATTGCTAGTCTAATTCGATTGGAATCGAGCTAATGAAATGTGACTTTTGATTACATGATCACTTCAGGTTTTTTCGTTTTTGGCAAATTCCAAGTCTAATTCGATTGGAATCGATCCAATGAAAAGTTGCTTTTGATTTCATGATAACTTCGAGTTTGTTCGTTTTTGGCGAATTGCTATTCTAATTCGATTGGAATCGAGCCAATGAAAAGTGGTTTTTTATTTCATGATAACTTCGGGTTAGTTCGTTTATGGCGAATTGCTTGTCTAATTCGATTGGAATCAAGCCATTGGAAAGTGGCTTTTGATTTCATGATAACTTCAGGTTTTATTCATTTTTGGCGAATTGCTTGTCTATTTCGAATTGAATTGAGCCAATGAAATGTGGCACTTGATTTCATGATAACTTTGGGTCTTTTAGTTATTGGCGAATTGCTAGTCTAATTCGATTGGAATCGAGTCAATGAAAAGTGGTTTTAGATTTCATTATAACTTCGGGTTTCTTCAATTTTTGCGAATTCCTAATCTATTTCGATTGGAATCGATCCAATGAAAAGTGGCTTTTGATTTCATGATAACTTCGGGTTTGTTTGTTTTGGCGAGTTGCTAGTCTAATTTGATTGTAATCGAGCAAATGTAAAGCGGTTTATGATTTCATGATAACTTCGTGTCTGTTTGTTTTTGGCGAATTGGTAGTCTAATTCGATTGGAATCGAGCCAATAGAAAGTGGTTTTTGATTTCATGATAACTTTGATTTTGTTCGTTTTTTGCGAATTTCTAGTCTAATTCAATTGGAATCGAGTCAATTAAAAGTGACTTTTGATTACAGGATCACTTCGGATTTTTTCGTTTTGGCGAATTCCAAGTCTAATTCGATTGGAATCGATCCAATGAAAAGTTGTTTTTGATTTCATGATAACTTCGGGTTTGTTCTTTTTGGCGAATTGCTAGTCTAATTCGATTGGAATCGAACCAATGAAAAGTGGTTTTTGATTTTATGATAACTTCGGGTTAGTTCGTTTATGGCGAATTGCTTGTCTAATTCGATTGGAATCAAGCCATTGAAAAGTGGCTTTTGATTTAACGATAACTTCGGGTTTTATTCATTTTTTTCGAATTGCTAGTCTAACTCGATTTGAATTGAGCCAATGAAAAGTGGCACTTGATTTCATGATAACTTTGGGTCTTTTCGTTCTTGGCGAATTGCTGGCCTAATTCGATTGGAATCGAGCCAATGGAAAGTGGATTTAGATTTCAAGATAACTTCGGGTTTCTTCATTTTTGGCGAATTCCTAATCTATTTCAATTGGAATTGATCCAATGAAAAGTGGCATTTCATTTCATGATAACTTCGGGTTTGTTCGTTTTTGGTGAATTGCTAGTCTAATTTGATTGGAATCAAGCCAATGAAAAGCGGTTTTTGATTTCATGACATTTTCGGGATTGTTCGTTTTTGGCGAATTGCTAGTCTAATTCGATTGGAATCGAGCCAGGGAAAAGTGGTTTTTGATTTCATGATAACTTCGGGTTTGTTCATTTTCGTCGACTTGCCAGTCTAATTCGTTTGGAATCTTTCTAATGAAAAGTGGCTTATCATTTCATGATAACTTCGAGTTTGTTCCTTTTTGGCGAATTGCTAGTCTAATTCGATTTTAATTGATCTAATGAAAAGTGGTTTTTGATTTCAAGATAACATCGGGTATGTTCGTTTTTTGCGAATTGTAAGTCTAATTCGATTTGAATCGAGCCATTGGAAAGTTGTTTTTGATTTCATGATAACTTCAGGTTTAATCGTTTTCGGCAACTTGCTAGTCTACATTGTTTGGAATCGAGCCAACAAAAAGTGGTTTATGATTTCATGATAACTTCAGGTTGTTCATTTTTGGTGAATTGCTAGTCTAATTCGATTGGAATCAAGCCAATGAAAAGTAATTTTTGATTTAATGATAGCTTTGGGTTTGTTTGTTTTTTGTGAATTGCTAGTCTAATTCGATTGGAATCGAGCCAATGAAAAGTGGTTTTTGATTTCATGATAACTTCGAATTTGTTCGTTTTCGACGACTTGCTAGTCTAATTCGTTTGGAATCGAGGCAATGAAAAGTGGTTTTTGATTTAATGATAACTTCGGGCTTGTTTGTTTTTTGCGAATTGCAAGTCTAATTCGATTGGAATCGAGCCAATGAAAAGTGGTTTTTGATTTCATGATAACTTCGGGTTCGTTCGTTTTCGACGACTTGCTAGTCTAATTCGTTTGGAATCGAGCCAATGTAAAGTGGTCTACAATTTTGTGATAACTTCGGGTTTCTTTGTTTTTGGCGAATTTCTAGTCTAATTCGATTGGAGTCGAGCCAATGAAAAGTGGTTTTGATTTAATGATAACTTTGGGTTGGTTCATTTTTTGCGAATTGCTAGTCTAATTTGATTGGAATCGAGCCAATGAACAATGGCTTTTGATTTCATGGTAACTTCGAGTTTGTTCGTTTTGGTGAATTACTAGTCTATTTTGATTGGAATCGAGCCAATGAAAAGTGGTTTTTGATTTCATGATAACTTCGGGTTAGTTCGTTTATGGCGAATTGTTTGTCTAATTTGATTGGAATCGAGCCAATGAAAAGTGGCCTTTGATTTCACGACAACTTCGGATTTTGTTCATTTTTGGTGAATTGCTAGTCTAGTTTGATTTGAATCGAGGCAATGAAAAGTGGCATTTGCTTTCATGATAACTTTGGGTTTTTTCGTTATTGGGGGAATTGCTTGTCTAAATCGAATTGAATCGAGATAATGAAAAGTGGTTTTTGATTTCATGTCTACTTCGAGTTTGTTCATTTTTGTCGAATTGCTAATCTAATTCCATTGGAACTGAGCCAATGAAAAGTGGCTTTTGATTTTATGAAAGCTTCGGGTTTGTTTGTTTTTGGCCAATTGTTAGTCTAATTTGATTGGAATCGAGCCAATGAAATGCGGTTTTTGGTTTCATTAAAACTTCGGATTTGTTCATTTTTGTCAAATTTCAAGTCTAATTCGATTGGAATCAAGCCAGTGAAAAGTTATTTTTGATTTCATGATAACTTCGGGTTTGTTCATTTTCGGTGACTTGCTAGTCAAATTCGTTTGGAATCTAGCCAATGAAAAGTGGCTTATGATTTCATGAAAACTTCGGGTTTATTCGTTTTTGTCGAATTGCTAGTCTAATTCGATTGGAATCGAGCCAGTGAAAAGTGGTTTTTGATTTCATGATAACTTAGGTTTGTTCGTTTTCGATGAATTGTAAGTCTAACTTGATTGGAATCGAGCCAATGAAAAGTGGGCTTTGATTTCTTGATAACTTCGGGGTTGTTTGTTTTTGGCGAATTGCTTGTCTAATTCGATTGGAATCGAGCCAATGAAAAGAGGGCTTTGATTTCTTGATAACTTTGGGGTTGTTTGTTTTTGGCGAATTGCTAGTCTAATTCGATTAAATCGAGCCAATGAAAAGTGGTTTTTGTATTTCATGATAACTTCAGGTTTGTTCCTTTTTGGCCAATTGTGTCACGCCCCAAAATTAACATTGATATCTATACACAGCCTAGATATAGAATTTTACATATATTTTTTTTCAAGTTTGATAACTTCTAATCACATGTGACATGATCATATAACATATCGAAACCTAAAATCACATCGCCATAATCCAACATATATATTCTGAGCTTATGAACATGTCTGCAGGCCATTTCAAAAGTATACTATATAGGATTCCAAAATATAACCCAACAGATAGTAGCCTACAAAATAACCCTACAGGTCGTCATCCATGTACATCGAACTCTAGAATCCTGTAGGTGCTCCACAACTAACCATGCCCTCTATGTAGTTCCATGCTCACCTACAATGCAAGAACTATAAGCCAATGTTTAGTAAGCAAAATCATGCATGTCCTGAACATGAGTAATAACGACATATGACCATGCCATATACTTTAAATATCATGATAAAAAAAAAATCATATTTCAATATTCGTCAAAGTCGACTAGAAATCATTTCACTTGAAATCTTTCATTTCATTGGGCCCTTGACCCACCTACTATGCACCAGATAGAGCTCTGCATAATATCAATATCAATAATCAAATGGCCAATATGAAATCGACACCGATGAGTGGACCATCCTCTTGTGACCACTAGAGGCTCATCCCCTGACTATCCCTATGATCACCCAAGAAGTTTCCCACCTGGCAGTGCCAATTATCATAATATCACAAGGGCACAATCGAGTGGTCCGCCCTCCCGTGATCACCAAAGGCCCATCCCCTATCTACCTCTGCAATTACCCAAGAAGTAGCACCAGCAATGCCAAACATATCACATAAGCATGCCTCACATGCCTCGGTGCCCTAGTAGTGGTCAATAAAACATTTATAATGAAACTCACTTTGAAATCATGTTTTGCATGCAGGATTTTCAACCATGTCACATGTCGTGCATGCATATGAAAATACTCATCAATGATGTATTTAATGAAAATCGACGTCAATAGGTTTCGCAACCTCATACTCAATGATCGTAACCACCATATGATGTGCTATAAGCCCCTTATCAAAGTTATTTATATATTTCAATATTACTATGTCACATATACTAGGTTCTTGCATCGCAGTTGTAAATGGATTTTCACTTACCTTTCACCTTTGTGTGTGCAAGCTTCTATGGAGATTAGATCAATATCCTTTTTCACTCGAAGTTGGAAAATCACCTGCATTACCATTTAATATTAAAGGGAATCCTCAATTTAATAACCTTAACGCAAAAAATCCTAAAATACATCCCTTCTCACCAAAATAATTTAGACGGAATCATCATTTCAAGTTACCAATGACACTACAAACTTATCCCATAAATCTCGCTATTTCTCGAGACAAATTATGAACGTCAACATCATCCAATTGTTGTTGACAACCTAGTACCCTTAGAATCTATTTTCTAGGCCCAAGAGATGATTAATGTACATGTAAAGGGTGAAATCATATTAAACACAAAATTGGACAGAATCTGTTTTCAGATTTCCCTTGCCGTCCAATTATTTTTCCAATCCCTTTTCACCCCCTCATCTATATCCAATGACTCCGAAATTTTTACCATATTTCTATAACATGTATGTGAAGGTAATCATCCTCTAAAGTCGTGACAAGTAAAGTGTTCTCAGCCTCAAAATAGTCCATTTCTACAACATTAAAATCAGACAGTTTCCATTGTGACAGTTTTCGGTTTCTATTTTATTAGCATGTTACCAATCGGATTTCAGGCTATTAGAAGGCCATTTATATCCTCATAAATATCATTTAAAAACATTCATTTACATAGATACAAGTTATATCTTAAGTATTATCCAAAATCAAAGTTTAAACCATCCAAATTCATCAATCAACACATCTCTATTTCTGTTGGTTTCTTTCGGGTTCTTGTACTTGATTACCCGTCTTTTTGACATCATAAAATCATCAAGAGCCCTTATAATTAACCTCAAGTAAGTTTAGAGGTTTAAAATATTATAAAACACCCAAAAGGACTAAAGAAAAACTTCAAAACCGTGACTTTAACTAACCTTTACAAACTGCAATCCCAGCTTCTTACTTTTCTATCTCTCTTTGCTTCCTTTGCTCTCCCTTTCACTTGGGGATATATTTAGAGGTTTAAATTTCTTATCCAAGAGATGTATAAGTAGCCTCAAGGGTTGGAGTCGTGAATGATGCTTAAGGATGAAGGAAAGTGTAATTAAAAGACAAGTATCATCAAAACATGAGCTGTCCAAGCAGGAGGTGTATTCATGCAGCAAACTTTGACCTTTCCCTTACCTTATATGGAGGCATATGTGTCTTATAAGATGTATATATATCTAATATAAAGTGATAATGATTTAGGAGACGTGCTGGAAGTCTTAAGACTGAAGGAATTAAATGTTAGATTGACAAGTTTTCACAAGGTAAGTAGGAGGTGTCTCCGTTGCAGCAACATTTGACTTTCTTACTATTATCTTTGGATCCATTTATGATATAAAATATATATATTCGTCCTATATTCAGTTCTTAGGGAGTATGACACGAAATTGATGCCTTAATCCCAAAGGAATTGGGTGTTAACATGACAACTATCCCAAGCATGAGGTGTCCAAGCACGATGTGTCTTCATTGCAGCCATACTTGACTTTCAACCATTATATTTGGATGCATTTGTGAATTTTAAGATTTATATCCATCCTATATTAAGTACTTAGGGAGTAGACACGAGATTGATGCCTTAAGGTTGAAGGAATTGAGTACTAAAATGATAAACATCCCAAGCGCGAGGTGTTCAAGCATGAGGTGGTCACTTGTACCAAAAATCTGATTTTATATCTATCTTTGCAGGCACAAACCAAGTATCCTTGGCTTATTTTGGCATGTTTAAAATCCATTTCACCTGTCCTAAGATCCCAAAGTATTTTATAGAGTTAATTTCTCAACCGTTCATTTAATTTCTTACCCGATTCTCAACCGATTTCAACAATTCGCACCTCAATATTTATAATGTCATATGAGACATATATTATTGCGTTGTGATCATTTCATTTCATGCCTCACATTCCAAATGTGTCAATTACCTATCTAGGGTTTAAGATGACCTCGATCCACCGAATGGAAAGCTTGAACCTTTGTCGATACTAATTTCTGACCTTTTCGATTTCCATTACTTACCAAGCTAATCTTCAGCACTTAGTTAACCTAATTTTTCTCTCATAGCTCAATGTGAAATTCACTACTTAGGTTAAGGAGTCAAAGATCATCATTATATAAAGATTTTAAAGTCTCGATGATCAAACACACGTTTTTAAGAGAAAGCAATTAGGAAATTGATGCAAATGAAAATGTAATTAGCATGGAATGCATGAATCTTATTGGCCAAATGTAGAACGTGAAGTTCTGGGTATTACAAATTGCTAATCTAATTCGATTGGAATCGAGCCAATGAAAAGTGGTTTTGATTTCATGAATACATCGGTCTTGTTCATTTTTGGTGAATTGCGAGTCTAATTCGATTGGAATCAAGCCAATGAAAAGAGGCTTTTGATTACATGTTAACTTTGGATTTGTTCATTTTTGGTGACTTGCTAGTCTAATTCGATTGGAATCGAACCAATGAAAAGCGGCTTTTGATTCATGATAACTTCAGGTTTGTTACTTTTTGGTGAATTGCTAGACTAATTCGATTGGAATCAAGTCAACGAAAGGTAGCTTTTGATTTCACTATAACTTCGGGTTTGTTCATTTTTCGTGAATTGCTAGTCTAATTCGATTGGAATCAAGCAAAAAAAAAAGTGGTTTTTGATTTCATGATAACTTTGAGTTTGTTCATTTTTGGCGAATTGCTAGTCTAATTCGATTGAAATCGAGCCAATGAAATTTGGTTTTTGATTTCATGATAGCTTCAGGTTTGTTTGTTTTCGACGAATTGCTAGTCTAATTCGATTGGAATTGAGCCAATGAAAAGTGGCTTTTGATTTCATGATAACTTTGGGCTTGTTCGTTTTTGGCGAATTGTTAGTCCAATCAATTGGAATCGAGCCAAGGAAAAGTGGCTTTTGATTTCATGATAACTTCGAGTTTGTTCGTTTTTGGCAAATTGCAAGTCTAACTCGATTGGAATCGAGCCAATGAAAAGTGGGATTTGATTTCATGATAACTTCAGGTTTGTTCATTTTTGGCGAATTGCTTATCTAATTCGATTGGAATCGAGCTAATGAAACGTGGCTTTTGATTTCATGTTAACTTCGTGTTTGTTCATTTTTGGCGAATTGCTAGTCTAATTCGATTGGAATCAAGACAATGAAAAGTGATTTTTGATTTCATGATAACTTCAGATTTTTTCATTTTTGGCAAATTGCTAATCTAATTTGATTGGAATTGAGCCAATGAAAAGTGGTTTTTGATTTCATGAAAACTTCAGGTTTGTTCATTTTTGGTAATTGCGAGTCTAGTTTGATTAGAATCGAGCCAATGAAAAGAGGCTTTTGATTGCAAGTTAACTTTAGGTTTATTCATTTTTGGCGACTTACTAGTCTAATTTGATTGGAATCGAGCTAATGAAAAGTGGCTTTTGATTCATGATAACTTCAGGTTTGTTCATTTTTGTCGAATTGCTAGACTAAGTCGATTGGAATCGAGCCAACGAAAAGTGGCTTTTGATTTCACTATAACTTTGGGTTTGTTCATTTTTCGCAAATTGCTAGTCTAATTCGATTGGAGTCGAGCCAAAGAAAATTGGTTTTTGATTTCATGATAATTTCGGGTTTGTTCATTTTTGGCGAATTACTAGTGTAATTCGATTGGAATTGAGCCAATGGAAAGTGGCCTATGATTTCATGGTAACGTCGAGTTTATTCATTTTTGGCGAATTGCTAGTCTAATTTGATTGGAATCAAGCCAATGAAAAGTGATTTTTGATTTCGTGATAACTTCGGGTTTGTTCATTTATAGCGAATTGCTAGTATAATTCGATTGGGATGGAGCCAATGAAAAGTGGTTTTTGATTTCATGATAACTTTGGGTTTGTTCGTTTTTGGCGAATTGCTAGTCTAATTCATTTGGAATGGAGCCAATTAAAAGTGGTTTTTGATTTCATGATAACATATGGTTCATTCATTTTTGGCGAATTGCTAATCTAATTCATTTGGAATGGACCCAATTAAAAGTGGCTTATGATTTCTTTATAACTTCGGGTTTGTTCATTTTTTGCGAATTGCTCGTCTAATTCGATTAGAATCGAGCCAATGAAAAGTGGCTTTTGATTTCATGATAACTTCAGAATTTTTCGATTTTAGCGAATTGGTAGTCTAATTCGATTGGAATTGAGCCAAAGAAAAGTGGTTTTTATTTTATGATAACTTTGGGTTTGTTCATTTTTCGTGAATTACTTGTCTAACTCGATTGGAATTGACCCAATGAAAAGTGGATTTTGATTACTTGATAACTTCGAGTTTGTTCATTTTTGGCGAATTACTAGTCTAATTCGATTGGAATCAAGCCAATGAAAAGTGGCTTTTGATTTAATGATAACTTCGGGTTTTTTCATTTCGGTGAATTGCTAGTCTAATTTGATTGGAATCGAGCCAATGAAAAGTTGTTTTTGATTTCATGATAACTTTGTGTTTTTTCATTATTGGTTAGTGGCTAGTCTATTTCGATTGGAATCGAGCAAATGAAAAGTGGATTTTGATTACTTGATAACTTCGTGTTTGTTCATTTCTTGTGAATTGCTAGTCTAACTCGATTGGAATCGAGCTAATGAAAAGTGGTTTTTGATTTCTTGATAACTTTGGCTTTGTTCATTTTTGGCGAAATGCTAGTCTAATTCGATTGGAATCGAGCCAGTGAAAAGTGGTTTTCGATTTCATGATAACTTCAGGTTTGATCATTTTCGACGAATTACTAGTCTAATTCGATTGGAATCGAGCCAATGAAAAGTGGCTTTTAATTTCATTATAACTTCGGGTTTGTTCGTTTTTGGCAAATTGATAGTCTAATTCGATTGGAATCGAGCCAATGAAAAGTTACCTTTGATTTCATGATAACTTCGGATTTGTTCATTTTTGGCGAGTTGATAGTCTAATTCGAATGGAATCGAGTTGATGGAAAGTGGGCTTTGATTTCACGATAACTTTAGGTTTGTTCATTTTTTGAGAATTGCTAGTCTAATTCGATTGGAATCAAGCCAATGGAAAGTGGCTTTTGATTTCATGATTCTTCAGGTTTGTTCGTTTTCGACGAATTGCTAGTCTAATTTGATTAGAATCAAGCCAATGAAAAGTGGGTTTTGATTTCATGATAACTTCAGGTTTGTTCATTTTTGACGAATTGCTAGTCTAATTCGATTGGAATCGAGCCAGTGAAAAGTGGTTTTTGATTTCATGATAACTTCGAGTTTGTTCGTTTTTGGTGAATTTCTAGTCTAATTCGAATGGAATCAAGCCAATGAAAAATGGCTTTTGATTTCATTGCAACTTTGGGTTTGTTCATTTTTTGCGAATTGCTAGTCTAATTCAATTTGAATCGAGCCAATGAAAAGTGGGGTTTGATTTCATGATAACTTCGGGTTTGTTCGTTTTTGGTGAATTACTAGTCTAATTCGATTGGAATCGAGCCAATGAAAAGTGGATTTTGATTACATTATAACTTCGGGTTTGTTTATTTTTGACGAATTGCGAGTCTAATTGGATTGGAATCGAGCCAATGAAAAGTGGATTTTGATTACTTGATAACTTCGGGTTTGTTCATTTTTGGTGAATTGATAGTCTAATTCGATTGGAATCGAGCCAATGAAAAGTGGTTTTTGATTTAATGATAACTTTGGGTTTATTCATTTTTTGTGAATTGCTAGTCTAATTTGATTGGAATCGAGCCAATGAAAAGTAGCTTTTGATTTCATGATAACTTCGGGTTTTTTTATTTTAGTGAATTGCTAGTCTAATTCAATAGGAATCGAGCCAATGAAAAGTTGTTTTTGATTTCATGATAACTTTGGGTTTGTTCATTTTTCGTGAATTGCTTGTCTAATTCGATTGGAATCGAGCCAATGAAAATTGGATTTCGATTACTTGATAACTTCGGGGTTGTTCGTTTTTGGCGAATTGCTAGTCTAATTCGATTGGAATCGAGACAATGAAAAGTGGTTTTTGATTTAATGATAACTTTGGGTTTTTTTTTTTTTTGCGAATTGCTAGTCTAATTTGATTGGAATCGAGCCAATGAAAAGTGGCTTTTGATTTCATGATAACTTCGGGTTTTTTCATTTTGCTGAATTGCTAGTCTA